AAATGAGACTTGATCTAAATGTTTACTCTTCTAGATCTTTTTTTTAGTATAGTACAATAATTAACATTTGTTTTAAAATTCAAAAATCCTTAAACCTACAGTGTTCTTAATTTTCATCAATGACTTTTTGTATATATATCTATCAATATATATATATATATATATGTCCCTAACCATGTATTTGAACACTTGATAGTAAGTCTTTGATCAGTCCGATAAGGTCCAGTTGGCAGGTGATAAAATGACTAACAGTTAACTGGAGCAAAAGTATAGCATATTAATTTTAGCACCAAAATGAAACTCTATTAACCATCTGAGAGACCACTTTCTGATATATATGTATATCAATATGGCTGATGCAAACCTCCATATAGAGTGATTTGTTGCAGCTTCAATCAACATTTTAGCTGACATGAAGTAGAAAGACTATACTATTCCATTTATTGCTAGGTTTGTATACTAAGAAAATATTGGACCACCTGTTGTGCAAGACAATTTTTTTTATTCCAGAATCTATCTTACATATTTATAAGTCTACCATTTGTTCATATTTTGAATATTTAAAGTATATATATATACAAATTATTGATAAAATGCAAAGAAAAACAACAATATTATTAGTCCTTATTGGCATCTAGCTTCAGTCACTATCCCATTGCCATAATGTTAAATCTGCTTTTTTATCTATAAAAGACTTTCATGTTATAAATACTTTCATGTTATTTGTTCAAAATCAACTCTTCACTATGTTATCTAGACTGTTATGAAGTTAAATCAGTACTAGATTGGTTATAAGGTTTTATCAATTTAAATTGAGTTGGCTGGTGTAATTGTAAATTCTATTCAAATAGTTTCTTTTCTAATTATTCTTGCTTGTTTTACACCAGAAAAGAAAAAATAAAAAATGTTTTGTAACACAGAAAATTTCTACATTGGCAGCCCTTATATAAGAAACTGAAAATACATGTCAGCAATCCCATTACACTTTGGCTAATGTTGCCCATATATATTGCCATATTAATCAAAGTCATCTAAAATTTTAGAATGTTTAGCATCTCTTGTGATTGAAGAGTCTAAAAGTCTGATTGTATTAATCTTGTGATATCTGAATAAATTTATATTTACAATATCTATACAAATTTTTTGTTTTCTAAATTGTGTATACATTATTTTGAATTTGTGTGTATATATATATATATATATATATATATATATATATATAAATCATCCACATTTAAGGAAGATTTTTTGTATTACAGCTTTTTCAGTGTGGCTCAGACATCCAAAAGCTACAAGCCATTTTATTGAAACCCGACCAATTTAATTTTTTGTAGATCCTATCATCTGGAAAATA